TCGTTCCAATGTGTACGCGACAGTTGTACTAATACTGGATTAGTAATTTGCGTTAAAAAATTGTGTGCAGCTCGGTGTGGTGAGTATGCGCGAGTGGCTGAAATAAATAAACTAGGTCTTCAGTATACAGCAGTGATATGCTCAATTACTTGTAAGAAATGAATTCCCTTTGGAACATGTAGTGCCATGAAAATGAAGTATATTAAATGCTCCTAATTATTTATTACAAGGGTCCCAGTGGTGTAGTTTTAATCGGCATTAGTGGATCATCATTCCTGACAATAGATCCTCCTAAATGTTACACACTGGACCTTTAACTTGTAGTGGAGTATTTAAACAATGCTGTATGGCTACTTTCATATACAGTAAGTACAAGATTACAATAAGGACAAAGACAGAGCAGAGCTGTATAGAGAGTAAGTAAAGCTTTAAAAATAAATATTTCTGTTTCTGTTCTCTGATTTCTACAAAAGATAAGTTTAGTGTTGCAATGGCTGCGTACCTGTAGAGGAAGAGATATCTCTCCTTGTAGGAGCTGCGACCTAGTGGCTCACTGACGATGTGACTGTACCTGAACTGAGGAGAACCTCTGGAAAACACACACACACACACACACACACACACACAGGTTTAGATAAGGAAAGGTCATTTTGTTTATCATGTATCATAATGTGAGTTTATGAGCTGTCCACTGTACTAAAAACTATAAATCATGCTTTGGACACCGTATTGTGTGTGTAATAGTATGCTCTGTACAAGGTGCGTGGTTAGTCTAACTTGTTGACATGCTCCATGAGTTTTTTGGTCGCTGACAGATCGCTGTCTCTGACCTCCTGGATCAGAATGATGTCATAGCGATGGACAATCTGAAAAGCACAAAACCACACACATCTGATTAAGGTACAGAGGTTTTTTATTATAGTTCTTTAAAGCATGGTTCTCCTAAAACAGACAAGAGGTGAGGCAACAAAAGTGTATTTTGCATCCACTATCCTTTATTTTCTTTGACTGTATCTCACCATAAATACCCACATGTGAAATATATGTGAACTACCAGGAGGTTGGATGAGTTGGTTGCTCATTAGCAACATAAAAATGATATTCATATCCATAAGGTTGGGGGACTCAAAAGGCATAGATTGATAGATCGCATCATTTTGGTATGGATCCTACACTACCCATGATGCCACCATTAGAATTTCATAATGCCTTTAGACCCTCCTTGCCTAGTAAATGACCATGGCTTTCTATGCCCCCAGTTTGGAATGTGCTATACATTTCTATTGTCCAAGCCTAAGCTCATACATATAACCCTAATGACGTCATTATGATGTCACTGGGGTTACTTTATGATCCAGAGCCACAGGCGACATACCGTACATACATCAGTCAACTCAGTGAGTGCAGTGCCCCTTTGACAATAATAATATACACACTATAATTATGCTGGAAAGAAAGAGGTTACACACCGTGCTGATGATGTTCATCAGAGTTGCATTGGAGGATTTGTTGTCTCCAAATGACTTGATGTTGAAGGCTCCCAACAGCAGAGAGGAAGAAAGATGCAGCAGGGCCAGGAAGAGGCCCAAAGCACACACCAAACGCATCCTGGGCCAAAGAGGTCAGAAATTAAAAAAACATCACATTTATAGCAATTTATAATTATAATTTCGTCTTGATTGCATGACAGGGGACGCATGCTGTTGTAGTGCAGTTGTAATGCATGTCACAGGACCCTGAAAGCCTCTTCTTCCCTTGGCCTTAATGTGGGAGCGACAGACGGACGTAACACCTGCACCCCTGGACGCATGACAACATGATCCCTATTCCTGGCAGTTTATCTAACTGCGAGTCGGCAGCTTAGCGTCTGATGTGCCGCTTTCTGCAATGTAAAATATTACTCCAGTAGTAGTATATTATCCTGTTACCCTGGTTACACTGGTGTGGAAGTGATGGGCAAAGGTTGTCAAATATGGAAATTGAAAGCAGCAGCTGTAGTGTGGTGACTTTTTGTTACGGTAATCCTAAATACACTGTTTCTGTTTTAGAGTAAAAGCATATCCTGTGTTACTGTTACAAAAAGTACCATATCTGTCTTAAGAATGTTACTGTGTATAGCATTACAGCCTGCAATGGCAACAGGTTTATCGTACTGTTATACTGAATAATGCATCCATATTACTGCAACAAAAAGTCTACAAATGTACTTATCATGACTCGCAGTGTAAGCTTTGTTCGGCTCAGCTTGTGCAGTGTCTGTCATTTCTGCATTAAAGAGGAGTCAGAGGTGCATATCTACCTGCTTCTGTGAGTCTGTGCAGGGAAGGATAGGGGCCTGTTGTAAGCAGAGCACAGAGGCCTGCTTGTGTGATTCTCCCCGGAGACTACAACTGAACAGAACCACCAATAGTGTCTCCCGTGAAGTTTTTATTTACCTGCATGTGCATGTGACTGGATCATGCTGGGGAGGGGTAAGGAGAGGAGGTGTGTCGTGGATGGGGTTAACGGGTAACATGGCAACCGTGGAGGTCTTTAATGCACTTGTAAATGGTATAGCAAATTTAAAAAGAAAACTGTTCTGTTAATCATTTGTTTAATTATTTAATTATTTAATCACTCTTGTGATCAACAAACATTGCTAAAAGTTAAATCCTGTAAATATTTTTCTGTACTTGTACATAGTTTTAAAGAAATTTAAAGAGCCAAATATACTCACAAACAAAGTTTTGAGGTTTATTGGACAACAATAGCTGTTAGCAATAGCTTTTTAGTGATTACCATCAGGACAAAGCAGGGACAATGTTTTGGAAAACCTCCTCATTATAGCGTAAGTTCAGGGTATGAGGGCTAACAAATAAAGTGGTCCTTTAATGTTGTAGAGTATGTAAAATGTACAGCATCTGTTGATCATCATGGATACATCACATTCACTGGTCTAGGCTCACTACACTAGCAACAAAATAGCTAGCAACTTCAATAGCGATGAGCACCATTATCTGTATCTGTATCTGTTCAACCAACTGAATGATCTGTGTTCATATCAGTACTCAGAATAGACATATACAACATATACACCCATCACTGTCAAATACAAACCCTCCATGCTACACATACTGTTTATTTATTTTATTTTTTATTTTTTTGCACATTTTGTATTTGGCATTTATATTAGACATATGTGTTGTTGGTCAGTTTTTTTAAATATGTGTTTATTTCACCTATTTGTTTACCTACTTGTATGTACATAATAGTTCTATGTTTATTTTAACTATTTTTATTCAGCTTTCTTGTCTGTGTTTAGCTGTATATAAATTTCTATCTCTATTTCTGTGAACTGTGTGTACTATGTGTACTCAGACTGGGCCAATAAAGCTGATTCTGAAAACTACCACTGAGAACTGAAAAGTTGCCAGATCTAGATACTTTGATGCCATGTAGCAACATCTAGTCAGTCAGTAGGTGTTCTGATAATATAATATAATATAATATAATAGAACAGTATACTGTGTGGTGTCTTTGAACAGTATAACCTGCTATGATATGTCTGGAAGTGTATTAAGATTAAGATATGAAATAACTTTTTTGACAAACATTATAGAAATAAAAACACACACTTCAGTAGACCTGATGCTTTGAAATGTATCTGTAATGCATAAAAAATAAGAAATTCATCCAAAAATGCCCCAAAATGTTACAAAATTCACTTCAAACATGCACATTAAAAAATGTATAAAATATATTGGCATTGTTTAAATACTCTCACATATAGAAATTAAAATGCACAGTTTGTTTACAATATTTACTTAAGATGTATTTTTAAATGTTATTATTATATATATAACATTATTATCTCTTCTCTCAACCCGTCAAACCAAACTCAACCGAGTGTGCGGAGGATCAATAGAAACTATTTTTACCTGCAATATTTGCAGTAGCAATGAGAAAGCGACAGATGGAAGGAATACGTGATAAAGAGAGTTGATCTGAAGGCCTTGTGGGATGGAAATTTGTATTTAATTATTTTGCTGTATTCAATCCAATCCAATCCAATCC